GCTCTCTGAGCTACCAGAAGCAGAGCCCCGGACTACAGGTGCTGCGGACGACAAGACGGCAGCCTCCGCTCAACCTCCCCCAACTGACCCACCCCCCTTTCACACACCCCTTGCTGCACCCCTAGCTCCACTCCCACGTCACCCCCCTAGCACCACTCCCTTGGCTCCCACACACCCACCCCCCTCAGCGGCAGCTGCAGCAGTGGGAGACGGAGGAGGAGGAGGAGCAGGGGACGGTTCACACACCCGCCACCCCCATACCCTCCCCCACTGCTGCACCTGCAGCAGGAGATCGAGGAGAAGGGGGGGAGGGGGGGGCGGGGGGGGGGCTGGTGCTGCAGATCCCCTCCCCCCCACTGCTGCACCCGCAGCAGGGGGAGGAAGGAGAAGGGAGGGGGGGGGGGGGGGGGGGGGGGGGGGGGGGGGGCGGGGGGGGCTGGTGTTGCAGATCCCCTCCCCCCCACTGCCGCACCCGCAGCAGGGGGATGGAGGAGAAAGGGGGGGGCAGGGGGGGGGGGGGCGGTGCAGGAGCCGCTCGGGCGACAGCAGGACGCGCCACACCCGCCACCCCCATACCCTCCCCCCCACTGCTGCACCGCAGCAGAGAGATGGAGGAGAAGGGGGGGGCAGAGGGGGCTGGTACTGCATATCCCCTCCCCCCCACTGCCGCACCCGCAGCAGGGGGATGGAGGAGAAAGGGGGGGCAGGGGGGGGGCGGTGCAGGAGCCACTCGGGCGACAGCAGGACGCGCGACGGCCATGAACCCGATGTGCGCCACACCCGCCACCCCCATACCCTCCCCCCAACTGCTGCACCCGCAGCAGAGAGATGGAGGAGAAGGGGGGGGGCGGAGGGGGCTGGTACTGCAGATCCCCTCCTGCCTCCCACATCCGCCACCCCCTCACACCCTCTCCCCCCCGTCCCCACGGAGGGGGGGGAAGGGGGGGAGGGGGGCGGGGGCGGAGCTACGCGTGCGACTGTAGGGCACGCGGGCAGGAGGAACCCCCTCTTGCCACCCCCTTACCCTTCATGACTCGGCAGGGCACCGGGGCCTCGGCTAGGGGCAACGGGTCGCGAGGGGCCGAGGCGAGAGGCGACGGGGCCGCAGTGAGGGGCCGTAGGTCGCGAGGGGCCATAGCTAGGGGCGACGAGGCCAGTGGGGCCGAGGGGCGCGGCTAGGTACGGGGCCGGGCGTTGGGCTAGGGACGGGGCCAGGAGCTGGGCAGGTACTGGGCCGGGCGTTGGGCACGGAACGGGGCTGGGCGCGAGGCTAGGTACTGGGCCGGGCGTGGGCTAGGAACGGGCCGATCGCGGGCTAGGTACGGGGCCGGGCGCGGGCTAGGTACGGGGCCGGGCGCTGGGCTAGGGACGAGGCCGGGCGTTGGGCGCGGAACGGAGGCCGGGCGCGAGGTTAGGAACGGGCCGGGCGCGAGCTGGTTACGGGGCCGGGCGCGGGCAAGAGACGGGGCCGGGCGCTGGGCGAAGGACGGGGCCAGGCGCGGGCTTGGTACGGGCCGGGCGTGGGCTAGGGACGGGTTGGGCGCGAGCTAGGTACGGGGCCAGGTGCGGGCGAGGTACGGGCCGGGCGCGGGCTAGGTACGGGGCCGGGCGTTGGGCGCGGAACGGAGGCCGGGCGCAAGGCTAGGTACGGGCCGATCACGGGCTAGGTACGGGGCCAGGCGCGGGCGAGGTACGGGCCGGGCGCGGGGCTAGGAACGGGGCCGGGCGCGGGCTAGGTACGGGCCGATCGCGGGCTAAGTACGGGGCCGGGCGCGGGCTAGGTACGGGGCCGGCCGCGGGCTAGGTACGGGCCGGGCGCTGGGCGAGGTACTGGGCCGGGCGCGGGGCGACGGAGTCGACGGGGCCAGCGGGGCCGAGAGGCACAGCTAGGGGCGACGGGGCCAAGGGGCCGAGCCTAGGGGCTAGGGGCGACGCCTGGTGTCGACGGGCCGGGGCCTAGGCTAGCAGGGCATTAGGTGGTGGGCCCATTAATGTGAGGTCCTAGGAACGACCTACTCTAATAGCATGTTAGAATAGTAGCTTGACTTAGGAACCATGGCTAGGGTTCTAGGTGCTAGCATTGAATGTCGAGAGAGTTTTGGGTGAGGAAAGTCGAGAAGGAGAATGAGGAGTTTCACTAGCAAGAGTTGGGATACAAATAGCAAACCCTAAATTGGGTTGTACTCACTACAGAGTACCCCACTGCAGGCTAAACAGCAAATACATTCTGACAAGTACCTCCAGGACCTCTAGCACCAGTAGCACCTCCAACACCAGAAGCTCCAGGACCTCCAGCACCAGCAGCTCCAGTACCTCCAGTACCTCCAGCACCAGCAGCACCTCTAGCACCAATAGCACCTCCAGCACCAGCACCACCACCACCACCAGCAGCTCCAGCACCGCCAGTACCGCCAGCACCAGCAACACCTCCAACACCAGCAGCTCCAGCACCCTCAGCACCAGCAGCTCCAGTACCTCCAGTACCTCCAGCACCAGCAGCACCTCCAGCACCAGCAGCTCCAGCACCGCCAGCACCAGCAGCTCCAGTACCTCCAGTACCAGGAGCACCTCCACCACCAGCAGCGCTAGTACATCCAGTACCAGCAGCACCAGTACCCCTAGCACCTCCACCACGAGTAAAACTATAACCTCCACCACCAAGACGGCCTCGCCGAAGGACCCACTCGCGAAGCTGCTCCGGCGAGAGCGTCCCGTGTCGACTAGGCTGCTGCTGCTGTCCAACGCCAGGACCTCCAGCAGGAGCACCCACAGCCCCACCACTACTAGGACTCACAGCACCACCAGAGTCAGCACCCCCAGAACCTGCACCCCCAGTCGTAGCACCCCCAAGACCAGCACCTCCAGAGTCCTCACCCCTAGTGTCACCACCCCTAGCAGCACCAGAGTCCACAGCGAGTGGCGGTGAAGACGATCGAGGCGGAAAACTAGGAGGGGTCTCCAAGTGTGGAGAGCGGCGAGTGGCCGCCGTGTCGTCAGCGGTGGGGTCACCCCCCTCAGCTTGGTCGGAGGAGTCAGAAGATATCTCCAAAGGCTCAACCAAGGGGGGTGGGTCTACCTGAGACACACCTGAGGGAGCAGGACCCCGTGGGGGGAGGGGGACTACCAGGGGGGAACTAGAACCAGAAAGAGGGGTGGGGTAGTGAGTGGGGAAGACACTTGCGGGCGGAGACAGTCGAAGAAGACCGACTCATCAAAGGTGACGTCCTGTGAGGACAGGGTGGTAAAACTGCCAGGGCGGGGCATCGGTGGGGAAGCTCAGGAAGACGCAGTGGAGAGTGCGAGGAGAGAGCTTGCTCGCGGTGGTATCGCTGACAAGGGAGAGCGCGCCCCAAACCCGAAAAGCCGACGCATTGCCAACCTCTCCCGTCCAACGTAGTGTGGGCGAGGTCTCTGGCACAGAGACACAAGGCCAGAGGTTAAGCTGATGCGCGGCGTATCGGGCCGCAAACAGCCACAGAAAATGGGAAACAATCGCATGGATCATGGAGGTGCGAGCAACCTCCATGATCAAGCCAATGCTGCGGTCAGCAATCCCATTCTGCTCTCGAGAGGCTGGAAGCGTGAACGACAGGGCGATGTCCTCCGCACAACAAAAGTCCTCAAGGAGGCCGGAGCAAAACGCACCGCCTCTGTCACAGTGCAGACGTAGGACCTGGAGGTTCTGCTGAAACCCTGCGCTCAGCTGGCGACGAACAGCGATGATCCAGTCGATCAAAATACCGTGGTGTAGCGCGTGTAGTTGTCAACTACCAGCATAAAGTAGCGCTCCTGGTCATGTCCACGGATGCGGGCTGGGCCCCACACGTCCATGTGGAGAGTCTGCAGAGGAGCAGTGGTCGGCGGAAACGAGGAGGAGTGAGGAGCGGCGCGCTGCCGCCCCTCGACGCAAGGAAGGCACGGCGGAGCAAGCGAGCGCGGGAGCAGGGGCAGGGACCTGGGGAGGCCAGAGACAAGGAGATGCGAGTGCATGCCACGCAAGCGCGGCAGCGGGGGGTGACCAAGACAGTGGTGCCAGAGGAGAGTCAGGTGCGAGAGTAGCCGACACGAACAAGACGCAACTAACTGACTCGACGCAGCCACCTTACCTGACGCAGCTACCTGTGCAGACTCAGTGGTCAGTGTGTACAGGCCAGACCCAGGGCTCCGAGTGAAAGTGGCGAGGTGCTCGCCAGTGCGTGAGTCCGTACATATCGCCACAAGCTCACCCCCAGGAGTAGTCACACTGACAAACTGGTCCTGGAAGACAGCGGTACTCACCAAGTTCTTATAGAACGAGGGGAGGTGGAAACCTGTGAGGGAGCCTGAGTGGGCTGCCAGACACGGGAGAACAGTGGAGGCACGTACTACAATTGGGTCCCCATAGGGGTCAGCCAGAGAGACCAGGACTGGTGCAGTGAGCGGTGTGAATGTGGTGCAGTCGCAGAAGAAGCAGCGAGTTGCGCTTGAGTTAAGCGTGAAGGTGTGCACAGCATCCACACAAGCTGCACCTGTGTCACCAGGCTCACTGGCAGAGAGGGTCTCCTTCTGACGATGCTGCCGATGCTGCCTAGTACCTCCAGCACCATAACCTCCACCACCAGGATGGCCTCGCTCAATAACCCACTCACGAAGGTGCTGTGGCGAGAGAGTCTCCTGGTGACGAGACTCCCGCTGCTGCCCAGTACCTCTAGTACCTCCAGAACCATAACCTCCACCGCCAGGACGGCCTCGCCGAATAACCCACTCGCGAAGCTCCTGCGGCGAGAGAGTCTCCGGCTGACACTGTTGCTGTTGCTGTCCACCCCCAGACGCTGCTACAACCGTGATAGAGGCCATGACTGGCTGTGGCAGTCAGTAGCAGCGGCGCAAGGGCGTCAGTAGCGACTGCAGTAGCTCCAGCTGTAGCAGTAGCGATAGTCTCTATAGTGGCAGAAGCTGGGACTGTAACAGCAGTAATGACTGGGCGATTAGGCTTACGTGCATACGAGACCAACCTAGACATGTGCAAAATGACGCTTTGTGTGCCCTCTTTTGCTTTGTTAGCAAGGATACACTTCTGGGTAGGTTGGGGGTTAACAAAAATAAGTGTTCTTAGTAAAATCGGAGCACAAAGGCACAAAAGCACATGCGAAGGAAAATCACCGATGCAAACTGTACCAGAGACAAATGATAGACCTTTGTTCCGCTTAATTCATACACACCCTTCCCAACACACCAAATACACCCCGTCTGTCCCCAACTCCCCTCACACACCAAGGAACGTTGATATACCTGTTCAGTTGTCCCCTGGCCCGCTTCACGCGCTTTCGGCACAAGAGTCGGTGAGTGACACCATTAATAGCATACACCCCTCCCACCCCTACCCCCACCCCACTCTCCCCTCCGGTCCCCACCCAGGTGACACTGGACTACCTAGCCAGATGCAACCTGTCCCATCTCACCCGCTTCCGGCACAAAAGGCGGCACGAGCGGGGCGTGGGGGTGAGCGACTCGCTTTTGCTACGGCTGATGCTGCTCTGGCCGGGGCTGGAGGAGCTGGTGCTGGTGGATAAGGCAGCAGAGGGCGTGGGGCAAGGGGGAGTAGAAGAGGTGAGTCGGGCTGGTTGGTTGTATAGGTGTGACGAGAGTGGGGTGTGGGGTGGGTCAGTGATGCAGTGCTGCTGCTACGGCTCGTGCTGCTCTGGCCAAGGCTGGAGAAGCTGTCGGTTAGCATCAAACACTGTCACACTGGTCTCCTAATGCTAACTGCCTGGGCTGATTCCCTCACATCCCTCAATCTATGCTCTCCTTCCCTTCCCTCCCTCCATCCTTCACCTCTCCACCCAGCAGGCCCTTTCAGACACAGGTCTCCTAATGCTAGCCGCCTGGGCTTCCTCCCTCACAACCCTCACTCTCAGCCTCTCCTCCCTCTCTGCTTCAAAACGCTGCTCTGAAGTGGCGCTAATGCAAGGTAAGCGTGGTTCAGTGCGGTGGAGTGTGGTTGAATGAGATTCACCAGTTTGGGTTTGAGCTCACATCCGTCACTCTCAGCCTGCCCTCCCTCTCTGCTTCAAAAAGCTGCTCTGAAGTGGCGCTAATGCAAGGTAAGTGCGGTTCAGTGCAGTGGAGTGTGGTTGAATGAGATTCACCAGTATGGGTTTGAGCTCACATCCGTCACTCTCAGCCTGCCCTCCCTCTCTGCCTCGAAAAGGTGCTCTGAAGTGGCGCTCATGCAAGGTGAGAGCGGTTCAGTGTGGTGAAGTGTGGTTGAATGAGATTCACCAGTTTGGCTTCCTCCCTCACAACCCTCCTCCCTCTCTGCCTCGAAAAGCTGCTCTGAAGTGGCGCTAATACAAGGTAAGCGCGGTTCAGTGCGGTGGAGTGTGGTTAAATGAGATTCACCAGTTTGGGTTTGAGCTCACATCCCTCACTCTTAGCCTTCCCTCCCTCTCTGCCTCAAAAATCTCCTCTGAAGTGGCGCGTATGCAAGGTGAGCGACTCAGTGCGATGGAGAGTGGTTGAATGCAATTCATCGGTCTGCCATGGGTGAGAGTAAGTCCAGTGAGAGTGGTGGAGAGTGGTGTAGTGCGGTATGTGCGGTCTAGCAAGACCTGGTGTGAGGTGGTGAAGCTACATGGGTCGTGCCTTGAATGCCATGAATGCCATGAATTCCTTGAATTCCTTGAATGAAAGGGCAACACTGAATGAATGCACACAACGCACATGTTTTGGACCTCGCTCTTTTGGTGTTGCCCTTCACTGTCAATTCCATTCCAACCCCCATCACTCATCATCACCATATCAACTCCAGTGGGCAGTGCATGCACGGTGCACCAGTCTCACTCATCTCGACCTCTACAATTTCACATACATGTCTTAATCGCATCTGCACGAGCTTGAGGCTGTGAATCGGGTGATCTCCACCTTCCATCTCCCATCTCCCAATACCCGAATCTCAAAATCTTCCCAACTCCCATTTTCCAACTTCCCCTCCCCCCTACAGTGGCCAGTGCACCAGCTTCCATCTGCTATCCTCCCACTGTACCCCACCTCTTCCCCTCCCCACCCCAATGGTCAGTGCGTGCACCAGTCTCACCCACCTCGACCTCTCCAATTTCATATGCATGTCCGACCCGCCTCTGCACGAATTCGTCTCGGTGAGTCATTCGGGTACTTCTTGCACTCCTAGTATTTGTTCAAACAACGAAACCAACCCCGTGGTTCAGATGGGATCATGGGGGGATGCCTGATCTGCTCCCCCATTCGTCTCTGTGATTTGCGCAGGTAATTCCTGCATTTGTATTAATTTTAGAATCCCTGCCCCACTCGCGCTCTCTCAATCACATAATCTCCCATCCCTCATTTGCACTCATTTTTCTTCCCTGCATCTTCCCCCCTCCTCCTCAGCGCTGCCCCTCTCTCGCCCATCTGTCCTTAGCCAGTGCACCCATCTCCGATGCCTGTTTGGACGTCATAGCCTCGCACTTCCTCCTTCCCCACATTTTCGCCTCATTTTCTCTCTCTCGTGTGTTCTCTTCCCATCCCCAGCGCTGCCCCTCTCTCGCCCATCTCTCCCTAGCCGGTGCGCCCATCACCGATGCCTCCTTGGACCTCATTCCTTATCTTTGTCCCTGTTGCCCTCCCGTCTACTCTGTTATCTCGCCCACCCCCACTGGCAGCGCTGCCCCTCGCTCGCCCATCTCTCGCTAGCCAGTACACCCATCACTGATGCCTCCTTGGACCTCATAGCCTCGCACTGCCCCAGCCTCGAGTCTCTTTCCATCAAGTGATGTCGCAAGGTGAGTTCCGGGACAGGTGGGGCGTGTCTGACGCTGGACATGCGTAACTTCCGTCGAAGTAGTGGTAAATCAGCGTGGTTTGCAGCAATAGCTCCAGCTCGAAGCTCCAAGTGTAAAAGTCCCTCCCGTCAAACACGGTGCTTGTCCGAGTTTTTGAGATATTTAGAAACTTGGATGGAGCTGAGAGGATGGCATCATCACTTGGACGGGGGGCTTTTGGGTTCATATGATTTCGAGACGCCTTGACACATGTCTACACATGAGACGCCTCATTGCATCGCACTGCCCTAGCCTCGAGTCTCTTTCCATCAAGTGCTGTCTCAAGGTGAGCTTGGAGCGAGGTGGGGAGAGCTATGGTAGCGTGAGGCAAAGTGAGGCGAGGTGACACGAGTTGAGGTGAAGTGAGGTGCGGTGAGGCGAGATGAGGCAAGATGAGGTGAGGTGAGGTGAGGTGAGGCAGCTGTTGAATACAAAGCATGCCTCTGGAGACCTCGCTGCATTTCACTGGCCTCGACTGTTAACCTTAAACCCTGTTCTTCCTTTGACCTCTTGTCTTGGTGTTGTCTTTACACCCAGGTGCTTGAGCCAGGGGTCAGCGCATTGGCTCGTTGCTCTCGGTTAGTGTCCCTTAACGCTGCTCTGGTGCCCAGAGTGACAGAAGTCTCTGCTCCACTCCTATTTCAGGGAGTCACAGCACTGAAAACGCTGGCGAGAGAAATGGCTTTCTTGGAAAAAGAGACGACTTCTGAGGCGCCTTTAACTTGGTGCTTGGAATCTGAGAAGTGATAGATCCTCCCACGTTCCAGGGAATCATTGTGCTGAAAAACACTGGTGAGAGAAACTTTTTGTTTCTGATGAAAGAAACAACTTTTGAGCCAGCACTCTCTACTGTGATTTTCTCCCCACACATCCCCTTTGTCCCATCAGGTGCTGAACCAACTACCAGACACCTCGTAACTATCTCTCTCTCCATTGTCACTTTCTATTGCTTCCCCGCACATCCCCTTCGCCCCATCAGGTGCTGAACCAGAGCCCGCTACCAGACACCTCGTTATTGTCACTCTCCTCTCACTGTCACTCTCTGTTGTCATGCTTTGCCACTCTCTATCTCCTCTCTTCACTTCCGCTTCGTCCCATCAGGTGCTGAACCAGAGCCCGCTACCAGACACCTCGTTATTGTCACTCTCATCTCATTGTCACGGTCTGGAGGAGCTGGCACTGCACGGCTGCCCCAGACTCACCAATGAGGTGGGAAGACACAGAGGGTTGTCGGGGGGTGGAAGAGAGATCCTTCATGAGCGAGATAGGATGGCATGGTGTACATGGCACGGGCGTGAGAGGATTTCAAGGTGAGCCTGGGGCAGCCCGTGAACATGGCACGGTGTACATGGCACCGGCGTGAGAGGATTTCAAGGTGAGCCTGGGGCAGCCTGTGAACATGGCATGGGCCCCCGTGAACATGGCATGGTGTACATGGCACGGGCGTGAGAGGATTTCAAGGTGAGCCTGGGGCAGCCCGTGAACATGGAATGGGCGCCCGTGAACATGGCATGGTGTACATGGCACGGGCGTGAGAGGATTTCAAGGTAGGATTGGTTTATTACTGCTCAAACGAAGGTTGTAACACCAAACTCCTCCGACCCACTCTATCCCATACAGCAGGCTGCTCAAAAGCAGCTTACTGCTCCCAAACTCTGTCATCTACCTTCACGTTCCTCTCCCTCCTCTCCTAACCCTTGCTTTACTGCTTTCTGTCCATCCCATCTCCCCCACCCTCCTACCCCCCTCCAGGGTTTGAAAGCTCTTGCCACCTCCTGCCTTGCCCTCCGCTATCTCTCCCTCAGCTTCTGCGATCAAGTCTCAGATGCCGGAATCATATCCATTGCCAACAGATGCCGCCACCTCATCAAGATTCGATTGGACGGCTGCCGCCAGCTGTCCAATCCAAGTGTCAGGGCTCTCTGCCGCCCGGCCAAGCCTGGGCCCAGCAGGTTTGGCCGGAGCAGAGTCCAGTCCAGGGGTCAGGTCCGGGTGCAAGTGTCGGGGATTTTTTTCGTCTGCCGGGGGAGTATGCGGCTGCTCGACTGCGCTAACTTGAGCATACAGAGCTGCCCTAAAAACCCGGATGATATTTTCGGCCACATTTTGGTTGCCCCCTGCGCTGAGATTTGTTGACGTCGCCCGGGAAAGGTTGAACGAGTGGGCTATTCATTGCTTTCATAGCCGTCGACCTGAGGTGGAGCTATGCATTAGCGGAGTACCATGTACTCCACCCATAGTTTATTAACCTTTATTTGATAAGCGCCCGATTATTATTTTTTGTATTGGTGTATACTGGTTTCGTTCAGAATCTTCGGTAGCGTCGTGACGCCACGTTATCTCAAGCAGGAAGACAAACCATGGAGGGACACGCGGCATCAATCCAACCAGCTGACGTACTGCACTCTGACATGCGCACCTCATGAGACCCGAGTCACATCCTTTAGTGTGCATATTGAGGGGTTCATTAGTAGCTCACTTCTGGAGTTGTGTGGAAGGACGCTGCCCACAGTTCATGCATCAACCTTCAGAAAGATGAGCAGCGGTTGTAATGGCTCACGTAATAACCGGCCTAAATCGCACAGTACCGTATTTTACAGTGGTACCCGAACACAAATTCATCCCTTTGCATGAGTGCTGAAGCCTGTCTTCGTCTTGGTTTTCTGGGATTCAGCTTGAGCGTGATTTCTGAATTCAGCGTGAGTCTACAACGAGCAACTGCTTTTGTTCACAGGTTTCGGTTTCGTTCTTTAGCTGCAGGAACAGCTCGTAGCGCTAGTAATAAGCTTGCATCGTGTAAGGCTCAAAACCAGAAGACTTCGACAAGCCTCGATTCCAAGGCTTCAAACCTTCAAGCGTTTTCCATGGCAGCGTTATCTCTCTCCGCACCTCCTCGTAACGGCCTTGTCCCGTCCAGCAGAACTCCCGTTTCGAGATTATCCGCTCAACCTGCTGCACGAAATGCCACATGGCTCAATCCTGTGTGGGTTCGCTGCAATCTTGACGGCAGGGACGGCAATTCTAGCAAATCCAACGGCTCAGATGCTTCAGGTGACGTATCCGAGTTCCAGTCCCTCGCGCCTGACGTCAGACCTAAGGGCTCCATCCCGATTAACTCATCTCCCACCCGTCGCGGCGCCATCACGCTCATAGTAGCCACTAGCGCCGCACTTGGCGCCGCAGGACTCGGTCTGGGCTCTTACATGTTCTCTAGCCCCTCCGATCTTGCCGATTCCGTCAACATAACCGGCCCCAGCAGCACCATCGACCCGGCGTCGCTCTCTCCGAAGCAGCGGATCGCGCTGCGAGTAGGAAACGTGTCGCACACGGAAGCGGAGTGGCGGGAAATCCTCTCGCCCGGTGAATATTACGTCCTTAGGGAGGCCGGCACGGAACGCTCTTTCACCAGTGACCTGCTGTACGAGAAACGCCCCGGAACCTTCGTCTGCCGGGGATGCGGCTCATCCCTTTTCGACTCGGGAACCAAATTCGAAAGCGGCACGGGCTGGCCGAGTTTTTTCAACGTGCTGCCCGGAGCTGTGGATCTGCTCCCTGATAGGTCGTATTTTGGGTTTGACCGGACAGAAGTGCGGTGTTCCCAGTGTCAAGGGCATTTAGGGCATGTGTTTGAGGATGGCCCAGCGCCTACTGGGCTTCGTTATTGCATGAACGGGCTTGCTCTAGGGTTCCAGGCCAAGGATAACGGCAGTGCTGCGTTGGATTAAGTTATGAAGCTTCTATGTACGGTTTTGATGAGATATTACAGCTATGGTTACCACTGTCTGCTTCGTCCCAGCCAGTTGTTTGCTGTCAGACAAAGAGTAGTCAGGAGGGCTACTAGTTGGGGTCAGATGTCCAGTGGAGGAAAAAAGAGCGTTGTCGAGAGTGGGATTTGAACCCACGCCCTTTCGGACTGGAACCTTAATCCAGCGCCTTAGACCAACTCGGCCATCTCGACACATTCCTTGTCTTCGCAAAACAAAATTTGAAATTCATAATTTGAATGGAGCCATGGCTGACAAGATGCTTCTGCTGCAAGTGTTATAAGTCACCAACAGCATTTGTGACACAGGCGAACTTAGATGGCGCCCCCTTAGAGTCGATTCACAACCCACCTTTAGCCACACGTTACCCTCACCAGACGTCGTGCCCTTTTCGTCCAGCCATGGCGGACAAGAAGAAGGTACTACTGCATGTGTACGACGTGACCAACAGCCCCGACGCGAACCTGTGACATCGGCGAACTTAGGCGAACATAGACGATCTTCGGCGAACGTAGGCGAACTTAGAGTAGTTTTGTCGTGCCATGGCGGACAAGAAGAAGGTGCTACTGCACGTGTACGACGTCACCAACAGCCCCGATCCGAACGTCAACAACACCGTGCTTCGCATCAACGGCGTCGCGCGAAGCACGCTGGGGATCGGAGGAATCTTCCACGGCGCCGTCGAGGTGAGCAGCTAGAAGAGCTCTCGGGGTTGAAGGGCTCTGAGCGCTCAGAGCGCTCTCGGGGTTGAAGGGTTGACACTAGATACTCCGAGCGCTCTCGGTGTGAAGCGCTCTCCAGCGCTCAGCGTCGCGAGAAGCGCGCTGGGGATAGGAGGGGATGTGGAGGTACCGACCAGACTGCAGTGTTGTTGCCACGGACTGCAATGGGAGCGGGACCACGCAAATGTTACTCATATCTCGAAGGGGATGTCGAGGTCCCGGACTGCATCGTTGTTACTACTTGGAAACCCTGGAGGCGCCTGAAAAGCCATGGTAGCGGTAGTTGCGGGATGCTGATCGCACTGTTGTTACCCCTAGGAAGCCACGGTAGCGGTAGTCGCACCCTCACCCTCAACCTCACGCCCCCCCACACACCTCTCCCTCCCCACACCCTCGGCCCTCACCCTCATTCTCCTCCTCCCTCTCCCCATCATCCTATCCCCCCCGCTCCTCCGTGTCCCCCCCCCCCCCCCCCTTACCTCATTGCCTCCTCACGATGTGACTAGGCATCCCACCAACTCCAGCACTTCTTTCCTCCCTTCTCTTCCTCCCTTCCCAACAATGCGTGAATTCCAACAATCCATTCGCGTGGTTCCGCTCCCATGGTCTCCTTTCCATGGTCCCATTCTTTTTTTGCCCAACCACCTTCCAGGTGTTGGGAGAAGAAAGGTCCTCTGGATACTGTGGGCGCGGGTCAGGCGTGTTCAGCTGCCTGTTTTATGTTCCACCCCCCACGCGTGCAACGAACACATGGTCCCATGGGCTTGTTCTTTCCTTGTCTGCCTTGCCTTCCACCCTCCCACCTTCCAGGTGTTTGGAGAGGAATGGTCGTTTGGATATTGCGAGCGGGGATAAGGCGTGTTCAGCTGCCGCCCTAAAACGAACCCCTACTACACCTACCGCGAGACAGTGGACATGGGGGAGACCAAGCTCAGCTGTCATCAGCCACCTCTCCTCCTCCCTCCACCCTTTTCATCTATATGTGCAGCCTCAGTGTGGTCCCAATCCCTTGGTTTCCCAAGCTTTTCAGAACCAGCTACTCCCTTTCCTTTTATTCTCGTCCATCCGTTTTCGTCTTCAGGTGTTTGGAGAGGAATGGTCGTTCGGATACTGCGAGCGCGGGTCAGGGGTGTTCAGCTGGCGCCTGAAGTCCAACCCCTACTACACCTACCGCGAGACAGTCAGCATGAAAGCGTGGGTCAGGCGTGTGCAGCTGCCGCCTGAAGTCCAACCCCTACTACACCTACCACGAGACGGTTGACATGTGGGACACGAAGCTCAGCCGTCTTTCCCTCTATTCTCGCCACTCCCCCTTTCTCCCAGGTGTTTGGAGAGGAATGGTCGTTTGGATACTGCAAGTGCGGGTCAGGCGTGTTCAGCTGCCGCCCTAAAACGAACCCCTACTACAGCTACAGGGAGACAGTCGACATGGGGGAAACTAAACTCAGTGCGAAACGCGCCGGGCAGGTCATAGCTGAGATGAGCGTGCAGTGGCCTGGCGAGTCGTATGACATGCTCGGGAGAAACTGTAACCACTTTTGCGACGAGCTTTGTGTCAAACTGGGTGTCGGGCCCATTCCAGGTGGGTGTTGTGACTCGTTACAAGCAAAGTCGATATCAAATAATGATAACCATTCTGTGATGAGCTGTGATTTATGTTGGGTATTGGGTTCATGGGTTCATTCCAGGTGGGTGAATGGGTGAGTGGGTGGGTGGGGGTTCTGGCGTGTGATACGCGAGTTCCATTAGTAACATGCTTGTAAAAAAACATGGTGTGCTACCAGGACCATTCCAGGTGAGCCTCGCACTCATCCTTGTCGTCCTTTTTTGGGAAATCTACCCTTTCTCCACCTGCTGTCCAGTCTCTTGATCTTGATCACGAGCAGCCACGCCCACCCCCTCTAGACATCATCACGCTACCCTGTGTTCCGCTCTTGTCCTTTTCAGCATGGGTCAATCGGTTCGCTCGGACAGGCGATTCGGCGGCCGAGCTGTACGATCAAGTGGGACAGCAGGTGAGTTTACGTCAAGGCAACCTTTGAGTTAGACTGCAAAAAAAAAAAAAAAAAAAAAAAACAAACAAACAAACAAACAAACAAACCAACAAAACAAACAATGATAGTACCAAAGTTGTTCTCCCTTGTATGATAGACCTAAAAAAACTGGTCCTGCAGCACAAAAGTGTTTAATTCTCTGCTAAGACACGTAGCAGTACACTGATGTGTTCGTAGCGGTTTCATGCTTTATTTTTCACCTGTTGTCTTTTTTTTCTGCCCAGGTTGCCGCCCTGCAGGAGTGGAGCAGCGGCACCTACAACTACTGGTTTGGTGCTGCTAGTCCCTCTGCTGCGTCTGCTTCTACTCCTAATGCTGCTGGTGCCGCTGGTGCTGCTGGTGCTCCTGCTCCTGCTGCTGTTGGTGCTGCCGGTGCTGGTAATGTTGCTGGCTCGGTTGGTTCAGCAGCTGGTTCAAATGCTCCTGTGGGGTCTGTGCAGGGGAGGAGTTGGGCGGAGTTTTGGAGTGGCAGGAAGGGTGATGAGCCGGATGGGGCTGAGTTGCTGGAACCAGGGGAGGAGAGGAGCAGCATGGGGGTTTGCGAGAGTGAGGGAAGAGGAGAAGGGGAAAGGGGAACAGGGAGACGGGAGGTAGGTGATGAGAGTGAGGAGAGGAAAACTGAGGCAAGTGATAGAGGAATGGAGAAGGAGAAGGGAGGGATCCGTGCGAGTCTGCCTTTATTACCAACTGTACCTCCAGAAGCGAACACAAGCAACAGTGTCAATTAGTGAAAACTCAATGTGATATTTAATTGTGTTAAGTAGAAGTTATCTTAATGGGTGTAAGTCTTAGAGCAATATGCGCATGTTAGTGCCTGATTTATCGGGAAACGTGTCTCTTTCAATCGGTTCATTCCGAGCAGATTCCCCTCACCTCGGGGTCCCGCTTGGTTGAATCTTTCTTTGATTCGGTTTCACTCTGGGATCGGGTTTTGCACGTCCATGTTGTGCCAATTGCGGGTTCAGTTCATTTCTGGTTTCGTTTTAGTATTGACCACTACTGCTCGATTATGAGTGATGACTCGCAGATAGTGCGCTAAGAAATGACGTGCCTGATCACACGCAGACTAGTCTCTCTGTCCGTAATCTAACACGTCCGTTACCCGTCTCGGATCGATTTAGCAGTAGTGGCTGCGCGACGACGACTCGCAGTGATTGGGTGTGATTGCAGTCAGTAACGTTCCTTTTCGGTGAACGCGGCTTCTCAGTGAACGTTCCATCCCACAGAATCCAGCAATTTCAGCCGTTGCTTTTTTGCACCCAGCGTGGTCGTTGTCGTCGCATAGTTCGCGCGTTAACTGCCTTTCTCAGTGAACGTTCCATCCCAGAGAAACCCAACATCTCCAAAAAGTTGCCGAACAACTACAGCCACTGCCTTTTTGCAGCGATCGTTGTCGTCGTCGTCGCATAGCTCGCCCGTTCACAGCGATTCCCCCAGCTGTCCTTCTCAGTTAGCGATCCGTCTGCGCTTATCGCGTACGGCTCGCGTCGACACCCATGGCGCCGCGCGGGTCCGTCGTCGCGTTTCAGAAGCGATTCAAGGAGTCGTCTCAGCAGATGCTGGAGGTAGGCTTTCCTCTATGTGATATGATTCCTCCGTAACTCGTCTGGACTCTACGAAGCAGTCACCTTAGCGGATCCTTAAGGTATCAGGCCATGAGGTCTGTTTCTGCGATTCAAGGAGTCGTCTCAGCAGATGCTGGGGGTAGGCTTTCCTCTACCTGATTTGATTCCTTCGTGACTCCTCTGGACTCTACGGAGCAGATACTAACGCAGATGCTCGAGGTAGGTTTCTCCTCTAGCTTTTTCTACTCCTCGACTCTGAAAATAAATGTTTTGACCCTCCTTGCTTACAAGAGAACGCCGAACTATTTCCATGGAGGATTGACCAGCATGTTGCTTGGTGCGTGCTGATCATCTATGGTGATGTTACTTTTGAGAATTCTCAAAGGTAACATCACTGTTGCTTGGTGCTGGCTGACCATTCGTTCCTAATCTCTTGCCTCCGTCGTTCGACTTCAATCTCTTTCGTTCCTTCGTCATCCCTCGCCCTTCCCTCTTTCTGTCTATCCTCTTGTTGACCTTGATCTTTGTTCTGCATTTCTCTAAACAGATTAGTTCCCACTAAGAGGTTACTCAATATTTCATTTTTCATGGTTACATATTGCTGTCCACTCTGTCCAATGTATCCCCTATGTCTTTCTTCCCTGTTCGCTCTCCCTGCAGCTCTTTTCAGAAGCAGCTCCAGAAACTTCCAAGAAGGTGACCAGGGATGATGTGGCCAAAGCAGCAGAGAGCCTTGTGAAGCAAGCGGTCAAAGGTAAGGGGTTTTTATCAAGCTCTTGAATTTTAATTTTAAATATACATGCATGCCATTAGATTCTCATCACAGTCATTTCTGTCATTCTTCTCACTGCCACAGGTTCTGCCCTTGTCCTCTATGCCCCCCTTTTTTCCCCCCTTTTCAATCCGTTCCTGCCACACAATCTAATTTCCTATTTCCCCTCTTCCCCCCCCCTCCTCCCTGCGCCCCCCCCCACTCCTTCGCTCTGCCACGCACCCCTTACTTCCAAAACCATCCCTCCCTCAGTGGCAATCTTTTGGGCAGCGCCCTCCCTCCCAAAGGCAGCAGAAGCCGCCCTACTGCTCTCGGATTTCCACGACCTGTCTGTGACCTCCACCCTTCACCCCATTTTCTCTTCCCAACGTACCCCTGTCTTCCACAACCATCCCTCCCTCAGTTGCAATCTGCTGGGCAGCGCCCTCCCTCCCAAAGGCAGCTGAAGCCATCCCATTCCTCTCAAATTCCTGAGTTTTGAGCCGTCTCATAACTACTCCGACTCTCCTCTTCCACTTCTCTCCCCAACGTACCCCTTTCTTCCACAACCACCCCTCCCTCAGTTGCAATCTTCTGGGAGGCTTCCTTTCCCCTTAAGGCCGTGTCTTTTGAGTTGACTCAAAAGCTGTCAAACCCTGCTCCCCCCCCTTCCTTCTCTCCCGCCACGTACCCCTCAGTGGCAATCTTCTGGGCAGCGTCCACTCCCCCAAAGTCAGCAGAAGCCGCCCCGCTGCTCTCAGATTTCCACGACTCGTTTGTGGCATCCATGCTGCTGCTGCACGCCTGCAGTGCTGGCGCTGCTGCCACGTGGCATGCTGCCATTCGCTCAGCTGCGGAGGGTGTTGTGTCAGCTGCAACTGCTCTGCTAGACACTGCTCTGACCACAACCAATGGTATGAAGCTGTTTTGCTGACGTGGGCAGTGATTTGATTTGATTTTATTGCACGAGTGTCATCAGCATGTTACAGTGTATCAATGAAGCAGTGTCTAGTTACGCATGACGTTTACAATATGAGGACTTCTTACTGTTTTTCCTTCTAGTTACGCATGACGCTATTTAACCATCCCTTTCTCCCCCTTTTTGCCCTGCAGCCAATCAGCGAGCTCAGCTGCTCCCCAGGCAGGCGGGTGTGCTGCATTCAGCATACACAGCACTGAGAAGCCTACAATATGAATTCTAGTCACTCATTTCGCTTCTTTTTTATTCAATCCTTCCTGCCCCCACCTCGTGCCGCCGCACAGCCACTCAGCGAGCTCAGCTGCTCCCCAGGCAGGTGGGCGTGCTGCAGTCAGCATACGCAGCACTGAAGATCCCTACAAGATGAAGTCTAGTCACTCATTTTGCATCTTTTCTAATCTGTCTTTTCTTCCCCCCCTGTTGCCGCACAGCCACTCAGCGAGCTCAGCTGCTCCCCAGGCAGGTGGGCGTGCTGCAGTCAGCATACGCTGCACTGAAGAAGCTTCCAGTGAGCTTACTTCTATCCTATCTCTCCTCCCCCCCCTGCAACCCTGTGTCTCCCCACAGCCACTCAGCGAGCTCAGCTGCTCCCCAGGCAGGTGGGCGTGCTGCAGTCAGCATACGCAGCACTGAAGAAGCTTCCAGTGAGCTTACTTCTATCCTGTCTCTCCTCCCCCCCCCCCAACCCTGTGTCTCCCCACAGCCACTCAGCGAGCTCAGCTGCTCCCCAGGCAGGTGGGCGTGCTGCAGTCAGCATACGCAGCACTGAAGAAGCTTCCAGTAAGCAACGAGGCAGCCGTGGGTCGGGCGCTGGTGACTCTTGCTGCGTCAATGAAAGACGTTGCAAGGGAGGTGGGGGAGATGGTTGGAAGAGAAGGGGTTGAGAACGGTGCAGTGGGAGTGGAGAGAAGCGAGGAGAAAGGGGATGTGGAAGGGGAGGGAAGCGCTGTGGAAGGCAGAGGGGTTCAAGAAAGACCCGGGGAAAAGGACAGTAAAGAGGAGGAGGATTCGTCCAGTAATGACAAGGAGGAGGAGGACGGTGATGGTGGTGATGGTGGTGATGGTGATGAGGATGATGAGGACGAAGAGGAAGAGGAGGCGAGTTTGGGCGAGGAGGAGAGGGAGTTGGCACGGAGTGGCTTGCATGTGTGTGTGGCAGCAGAAGGGGTGATTCGGTGTTTGATTTACCTTGTGGCTGCTTGGCAGCAGCACCAGGACTCCTGGGGACAGCAGCAGCAGCAGGAGCAGGAAGAGAAAACACAGTCACAGGGGGTTGAAGGAAAACAACAGCAAGAGCAGAAGAAGAAGACTGGTGCGACAAAGCGTGCAACTGGCAGTGGAACAAGTAGCAGTGCTGCCAGTAGCTCAGCAAGCAACAGCAGCAATAGCAGCAGAACCAGCGGCAACAATAGTGGGCAGAACAGCAGCAGCGATATCTTGGAGTCAGTTCTGCGTGTGTGCATGGGAGCGAGTGAAGACGTGGACGAGATTGGTGCGTCTCTCTTCCCGCCTCAAGAGCCCGGCACGATCCGCATGCGAGCACAGCAACTTCTGGGTCGAGCGAGAGATCTGAAATCACTGCTGCCACTGCCACCAGGAGCAGAAGCCTTGGAAAATATACAAGTGGCGGATTCGGGGAGCGTGGGTGGTGCTGCTGCTGCTGATGAAGGGAAGGTGGGGAGTGGAGGGGAGGTGGGGAAGAAGGGTGTGGGGAAGGGGGGGATGAGTGTGAGTAAGTTGCATGAGGTGGTTGGGGAGATGGAGAGGGATATACATACATTGTTGCATGTGGTGGGAGAGGAGAGTAGTGAGAGGGAGGTGGTGGGCGATGAGGGAGCACAGGGGATAAAGGAAGGAAAGAGGGAGGAGCAGGTATCTGCTGCTTGTGTAACTGTCACAATAGAGAAATGCCGTTTAGATGATTAAGGGAGCCAAACGCAGGAGGAATACTTCAGCGATGTTGTGCAAAACTTTGTCCATGTTGAAACCATGGTCATGGACCATGGTCATGAAATGCTGTTACAGATCAGCATACGGTACTGGTACCGGTACCTACATCATTTTCTCATGGAGACATTTTTGGGATAGTCAAAGAATGGCGAAGTCGGCATTGTCGAAATGGAGTATTCCAGCACCTTGAAACTCTTGCTGAAGACCTCATGAAATAGCTCAACAGACAAACAAGTCCGCCCAGGAAGCTCGCTGCTGGGGGGCAAAAAACATAAACCCCTATGGGAAGGGCATGCCATCAACCCTAAACACCTTGTCACATGGTGTTTATGGTTGATGCCTCCCTACGGTGGCATGCCATCCTACAGGGTTTTTGTTTTTTCTGCCCGCCGGTCGGGTCGACGGTGGTCGACGGTCCGTCGACCGACCGTCGACCTCGTTTCGTTGAGAAATTCCAAGGGGTTTGTGCCCTGCCCAAAGGCATTAATTGTTGGCCTGTAGAGGAAAGGATCGAATTTCATACGAAACACTAAATTATTACAGTGTAGCCTTGAGAAGTGGAGTGACCTAATTGTGGCTCACCACCAGGCGTTCTCCTGTAAACCCCTGCCCCTCGTTCAATTCTGTCACACTTCTGGAATGTTATGGACGTGCGGGAATTCCGAAAAGCCTTCATAACTCAAACCTTCTAAATCCATCGTTGACATGGTTTTCGAAGTGATGGTAAGGAGATCTCGCCCAACACACCTCAACACAACTTCCATCCTCGAGTTATTTACAGTGGGATGTTCACTGCTGTTTTATGGTTGACGGGTTGACTCCAGCTGCTCGACATTCCTGTTCACGGCCTACTTCTACCTTCTATTGTCAGTGCATGATCGGTGTGCGTGCCATGGCGGCCCGACGTACCAAGCGATCTTGCGCGATGCGCTGCATCGGCGTTTATGCGCTGATGAGCGATGGGTGGTGACGGACAACAACGCTTCATTGATCGCTCGGCGGTGACCGGTGCACATCTCAGCACGACCTTCCTGACACACAATGTTATTGGAGGCTCGTTTCTGCTCGAACCTGAACAAGGTATGCATGCAATGCGACGAGCATTCTGTGGATAAAGGCTCCGATCTCTATGAATGAAGAGTCAACGATGATGAAAGCACACACATGGCTTCGTTTCTCGAAACATTCGCAGTGGCCGACTGAAAGCTTTCGCCCCTGCCGGGGCTTGAGAGCTGATGTGGCTTTTTCCTTCCTTGGATGGCTGAGTTGACTCATGAGATTATGCTTCCTTTCTCCTGATGATGGTCAGCATTATGTCTCAATCTGGCCCTTAACCATTTCTTTCACCTTTCAAAATCTCTCATTGGTCTGAATCATGTGAGTCGTGATCCATCTTTCAAACGTTGCTGTTAATCTCTGTCAACGATGATGAAAGCGCACATATGGCTTCGTTTCTCGAAACATTCGCAGTGGCCGACTGAAAGCTTTCGCCCTTGCCGGGGCTTGAGAGCTGATGTGGCTTTTTCATTCCTTGGATGGCTGAGTTGACGTGTTAACTATTTGTTCTGTACACTCATAAGAGTGATGATGTGGATGATGATAACCATTTCCTCAGTCGGATTCCTTCTGACACCCTCGGGTGGCTGAAGCTACACAACCTTTCTCGCCGACACATCCATCACAAGTGCTCTTTTTATTCATTTTTTTTCCGGTTAGTATTTCTCTCTGGTGCTTTTTATGATGGTAATGTGGATGATGAAAACTTTTCCTTCAGTCGGATTCCTTCTGACGCTTTAGGGCGGTTGAAGCTATTACACCTTTCTCCAGCTGACACATCCATCTCCCCATTTTGTTTTAAGGTGGTCTAGTTGTCACTCAAGTTCGCTACTTAGGAGTGGAGGAACGCCCTAATTAATGACGTTTCTCCCCATTATTTGTAGCAAGATGGACAAGGAGCATAAGGCTTGGCGTGAATTTTCCTTGCACTGCCAGGTTACCGCGTTTCTGACAATACAAGTTCCTGGGATGTAATGCAAGGTCAACTTTTGGCACTACGCTCACCCGTGCAGTTCCGTGTTCGCTATTGTGCAGGTTCAATTCCAGACCCGTTCCGCGCTACACATACTCAAGAGGGTATCGTCAGAAACGAAGGATGGAATGCCTAATGCTGCAACCGTGCAATGGAGGATTACTACATTGATGTGGACGGAAGTTGTAAGCCCTCTTTCCTCTTACCTGACGATGGAGGCTTGAGGCTTTTGTTATCTAATCACGGCAGCTGGATGGTGGCGATGATGAAATACGGACTCCCTCTACTGAAATGCATGAGGAATCTCCGGCGGAATCGAACCTAAACTAAATCTGCCATGTCTGAGCCACCAATTTTATGTTGTAGTTGCCGCTTTCGTAGCTTTTCACTTAGTGTTTCTGTTGTGATGTTCTGTGCGTCTCGTCATTGGGATAATGAATCAATGTTTTACGTATGTTGGAGATGATTCTACATTTTGGTTACTATTGCTGCTTGTGCGAGGATTCTGTCACTGCGTTCTTAGCCCTCCTCTGAGCCCTGGATGTGAGCCGTTCGTGCAGTCTACATGTCCAGGGTATGATTGGAGGGCTACATGGACATGCCATGGCAAGGTGTAAGCCTGCGTGGTCATTGCATCTCTATAGACGTTCTGGCGATCTCTTCGCCTCTGCGCATATGCTGGATGCTACACCGTAATTCCGGTGCGAGGATCTGTGGCTCTGCGCATCATTCTCTGTCCATCACTTACTAGCCTGTGACCTGCTTTGGATGCGTCACCGTTTTCACCCTGATTGCAGGTTTCGGAGTCGTAACTGTGGCAGCATGTTGTGACACGTGATGGCTGGTTGACACTGATGGTCAACCATTGACATGCGCCCCTGGTCAGTAACCTCTGCTCAGAACAGCCGCTCACTCGCTAATGTTTCCCCCTTGCATTCTGAACGATTCGCTTATGCAATTTGTAGTTCCGGGTTACGGCCGTGCAGTGATGTGATTCAGAGATTCTGACACCTCTACAACTAGAGTCTCGTTGCCTTCGGGCGTCAAGGCTCAATGCTGATAATCCTCTTTGTTGTAGTCTGAGCACGGTGCACATGAAATTTTTTACCTCTATATTTCAAAGCAAGCTCACTCCATGCTGCGCCTGATTTGTGGAGCAGTGTGATTTTTTCACTTGCAATATCATGGCATTGGGCTTTTGTATACGAGAGGTACATGTTAATGTACCTCTCCCTGAACTCATGCAACATTCTGTTTTGTGCAGGAGAAGTGATGAGACGGTGCAGGAGCAGTTATGTTTTGTGAAGCATGGTCTTGAATCCAACTTATTTGTGTGTGTTCAATGCCTGGACCACAGAGGCTGATACGAATTGCCAGATCCTTGAATCCCTCAGTGGAGCTAGCATTTGTACTGACCAAAAGATAAGGCTGATAAGTAATGAACACCTCACGGCGGTATTTGTTTCCACAATTTTATCCAATCCCTGGTTCAGATATTGCGCTACATCAGATATTGATCAAAGAGATGCTTGCAAAAGCTGAAAAAGCACTAACAGTACAGAATTAAATACGGTGTCAATTTTTCGCTATGGCTGAATAGAATCTGAGTAGGTACCAGCAGCACCCAAGCTGCGTATCTGAGTAGGTACAGGTATGAAAGGGAAATCAGCTGTGTGCTCGTTTCTTGGAACCAGTTAGCGCTCTGACCAGGCCATATTTTATCAGTGTAAATCACCCTGATACCCTGATTATCAGGGTGGTTTTTGGTAGTCACACTGATGCCGTAAGGTAATTTTTTTGGGAGCTAGATTTTCTCTGATATGCCAGGGTTTACGATTAAGGCACACTGATGCCTCAGGGTTGCCGTTCCGCTTAGCGAGTTTTACCCTGAAGCGAGTACCACCCTTCCCCCGCCAACCCCCCCCCCCCCCCCCCCCCTCCCCTAACCCCCCTACCCCGTAACCTGGGATTCCCAAATGCCAACTGTTGAAATTGAAAAATTTGCGCCGACATTACATGTGTTGGCACGAAGTGGCCCACCATTGGCCAGAAATACAGTTTCTTGTAGATAGCGCCAATGTATCAACTCGGTCATGTTGTCTGACATGCCAAGTTTGTCAGAGGTCCACTGGTGATCCCCGATTGATCCTAGGGAACGGTTACATGCTCGTTGTCCTGGGGGGTTATGGGCGCACTGGCCCGCTACTTAACAAGCCCTTTTATCCCAATGGTCTAGTGGTTGGGATTCTGACATGGTATCAGAGCGAAGGTCTCGGGTTCGAATCCCAGTGTGTGCACTTCAGACATCCCAGTGCGAGGGGGGTGTCAGAGGTCCACTGGTGATCCCCGATTGATCCTAGGGAAGGGTTACAGGCTCGTTGTCCTGGGGGGTTATGGGCGTACTGACCCGCTACTTAACAAGCCCTTTTATTCCAATGGTCTAGTGGTTGGGATTCTGACAAAGTTGACCGGTTGACCGCTGAAAGTCGGCGCCCTCTAGCCCACTGGGCACCGCGTTCTTTGCACAACTGTGGGTGGCTCAACTGCTTCGTTTGCCAGCACGATAGGAAACGAGTGCGATTGGGATTGGGGGCACCAGCTCGGTTGTGGTGAGGTCTCGGCTTGGTCATGAGAGACCTCTCTCTCAATTGCGCTTTCCAACTGAGCCTGCTGTTTTGCCAGATACACACCCGCAGCCATGGTGCCTACACTGGACGATGATGGAGGAGAAGCTGCTGACGAACCACCTAATGACGCCCCATCGCGGACAGGCCTTGATATTCTCCGAGGGCTGCATCAGAACCCTCCGCCCGTCTGCACTGCAGGCCCGTCGTCGTGCCGCGGCGAAAAATTCCCTCCTTCTCGTCCAGCTGGTTCCTCTGCCGTTGAGCTCGACAGTGCTCCCGCCACAGTCATCCTAACAGAGGTCGACGAGTCTTCGTCTGCT